CTTGTTGAGAAGGTCTTAATCCAGTTAGAAGATGTTGGTTACCACCAAGGTGTATGTGCCATCTAGCACCATTTGGTTATGGTGCAGTGCCAATCATCGTTGTGGTTCATAGGTCTCATAGTAGGGTGAGACTATTGTTTGGATTCCTCCCTTGAACGATTCCATATTGCCTTCTGTTACCATGAAAGTCTCCAAGGAACGAAGCTTTAAATTTTGATCCATCTCAAATTCGCTGGCTGTGACTTAAGTACATGGCTTCTTCAAATTAGGAGTTCTTCTACCTCTGTGAGGCATCCATGATCCAGAGCAATAGTCAGTAATGTTTTGGTAATCTCAAGGACAACTATGACCAACAACTTCAAAGCAGGCTGGTAGGAGTTGTTTGTTAGAAAATCTATGTCCCTTGTGAGGAGCATCTTCAGCTGAGATGGGATAGTTTCATTTCTACTCTAACTGAATATATATGCACACACTTATATGTAGTATAGGCATTTGGGGTAGATAAGAGTAAGATTCCTTATGACTTTTTCAGACATCCTTACTGTTGTATGATATTTTGTTTGTATTCTGGCAAATAAAGCTTGCCTGGAGATCAGAGACTCCCAGCAGCCAGCCACTGGACAGACCACCTGCATCTATGAAATCTCAGATCAAATGGCATGGGGATATCTTGTCGCTAAAAGTCCTCAGACTGAATGTGCTAAGGCACTGTCTCCACCTGCCATATATTCCTGTCTCCACTTCATTAGTGCTGAGATTAGGGCAGAGCTAGGCCCTAATTAACTATAGAGGCCAGGCAATGATGGCACACACCTTTAAGCCCAGAACTCGGGAGGGGCAAGCAGGAAGAACAAGCAGCAAATCAAGACCACCTTGGGTTACAGGAAATTGACTCAGTATAAAAGAGAAGAAGTGTTGCTCACAGTTTTAAACCGACAAAATCAAGAGGTTCAGACATGAATATAAGGCAAGTGGAGACAGGATCTCTGCCCATTCAGTCAGAGGTTTCATAGACACCAGTTGGGACCCATTCTTTCAGAGGATTCATAGAGGTAAGAATTTGTTTCTCCTTAGCTTTTCTGATTTTTCAGCTTTCACCTGAATATCTGACTCTGGGTTTTTAATGAA